GATGGAAATGACTTTGAGCCTTGCAAGTTAATGTTTCAAAAGTACACAAGCGTTTGCGTGTATACTTCGCGTGGCTAAAGTTCTAAACTAACTGTCAAAACAAAACAAAGAATGCAATTTTATTGGCGATCATGCACATGCTCTCTTCGAGAGCTTTACCATACTTAAGTCAATTATCAGCAAACTTTATGAATTAAAATCAATTGTAGGCTATATGGAATAAGCTAACTCCTGTTAAAGATTAGTATAGACAAAACACATAGATAGAACAAAAAGTCCTTTGAAAAGTATATCAAAATGAAAAATGGATAATAAATATTTCAAACATATAAATCCGCTTATTAAAGAATAACAATTAACACAACTGGGAAAAATGTTCATGCCTTATAATCAGCCATATCGATGCAGATAAAACCCTCTAGATAGAACAAGTAACAATAACGAAAACAATTAGCAGATCCATGCCAATTAATTAATTATCGGACTTTGGATTTTTCTTAGTTTATACTCGCTTCAACAACTGCGCACCCCTCTCTTGTCAGTAAACACAGGTCGGAAGAAATCATCATGAGATTTTGACATTGTACTTTCATCAACTGTAACATAAAGACCGGCGTGTTATAATCTTGACGACTCATTTAACCTGCCATATATTGCCCGTGTTGTCGTAATTTTCAAATTTGATAAACAATTTTCGAAACCGTATTTTTAGATGTACTTTTTCATGTAGATTTCAAATTATGACATCACTTTGACTGAATTTTGAATATTTAATGACGTAAATCAAAATTATTTCTACTCGCATCTAGTCTACCTTGTATTTCAAGGGGAATCTGTGAAACAGAATACAAATATTATACGATATATTAAGAAGGGAATGATAAAGTATGTAAAATTCCTGCTGAATATACAGTATGCATGTATGAATCTGGGAAATCTCTCGGTGTATCGAATGTTACGACGATCGGAACATTCACTGGTTTAATCCAGGAGGTTTAATCTCCCGACGTGATATACAGCAAGTACTCCCGGGCAAGTACAATCCTTTGGAATACCAAAGCGTTAGATAAAGTGAGACTCTAATAGATCAGAATGTCCCGACACGGAAATCAGAATGACAGAAATATAATTTTGAATAATTTTGGGAGGTAGGGAATCGCACAATTTTGTAATTCCAATGCTGCCCTTTGTGTTTTATCAACGTTATACAACGATGCAAACAAAACAGATCGTATTTAAATCTTATTCTAATTTTAATTCCTACATGAAATCTCAGCCCCCCCCCCCCAAACACTAGTAACATTTTAAAGACTTTATCTAATTCAAACAATCAAATCAAATCAAAATTAAAACATGCAAACAGGTATATCTGCTTATGGAGGAATATCCGAAGAAATGTGTGACGCTGGTTTTCAGTCCTTAATCGCCGCTTAATACCTGAAAAGCAACTTATCTGCTTATTATAAGTTATCAAATAATTTAACAATTAAACAGAAACAATGCATGCCAAACATTTATCTATAATTGTTATATTATGGTTATTTTATAGTTTGCACTTGTATCGAGCAACTGTGTATCGGGCTGTGTATACGGGCCCTTTCTCAAACCCAATATGGGATTTAACACGTCACTTGAGGCAAGATTCATAAACTATATCTCCACGGGCTATAATTTGAAGAACGCCACTGACGGATCTGTCCCTTTTGGATGGGCCGTATTGTTCTTGTGTGTATCTTACCCACGGGAACCTACAAAACAGATATAATTGCATTGTGAAAAGGAAGTCCCGTCTCTATAAAACTTCCTAGAATAAGATTCAAGCAGTGTAAACATCCATATTTGCAAAAATAGTGATAAACCACTGTCATTAAGTAGTTGTAGTACCATATTCGTATAGCTTTTGGGAAAGACGATAAAACGCAAAATATGATTGGAATATTTGCTGAAGTCTGGGATCGATGATCTGACAGAAAATTTAAGGAAGGCGTTGATCATGACTGAGCAAAATGAAAGAGCAAAGTAATAATAATTGCAATTTATGTTTATCATTTCAACTATTCCGAGTCAGAGAAATCAAGAATAAAAATGAAACTTTCCTTAGATATCTGTCGTATTGGCTTTACCGGGAAGGCTAGTTCTGGGGGGGGGGGGGGGGTAGCGCTTGTTTAAATTTTAAATTATTAAGATCAAAATGGTAAGGTCATATTGACGAATTTCCAAAATGACAAATTATTGTGCAGTGCGTTAAATTGGAATATCTTTTGATTCTTTTCCACTGGGGTACGCTAATATCCGATCTTAGTACTTCAATATTTTTGTTTGAAAGCAAGATCTTTAATGTAAACATCCGCATTTCAATATATCCTGAGACTATCATAGAATAATTCTGTGAATCCCAAGCACAACCCATTACAATATCAGTCTATAAGTCAATCTGTATTACAACAAATGAATAATAATCCCGAAAACAGTTCAACTATATTTGGCTTTGACTTATTTGTTTGAGAGGGATACGAAATCTAGGAATAAAAGTCACCGACGGTCCAACTTCAACGAACAATCTACATGTACAGACTTATCTTACTAATTTAAATAATTATTTGTCCTCATCGTGATTTGCCCGTCTGATTATACAGGTTTTACTTTCAATTTAGCCTCACTCAGACACACAAATAAAATGTAAAATTATAACATCATATTATAAAAACATTATCCAACCTCGAATTAACACTAATGAACACGATGTGATGACTTTATTACTATCTATGAGGAACCATTAAACAATTATGAACGAAATCCAGATACGTACAGTTTATTCATGAATTTGGAATATAATGTCGCAATTCATTCTAAATATCTGTTAAATATCGAATCTCTTACATTACGAATCTCTTATTAAAATATATTCTATTTATACAATATTGTTTTTCCCGTCATCCGTGATTTCCACATGTTGATTGTATTCTATTTTATCAAATGATCGGAAAGTAATACCATGAAATGAGTAGCATTAGACATGTTAGATTATACGCCCTTGAATTACACTTATAAACACGATGTGATGATTGTTTCATTTACTTAGAGGAACGCATTAACAGATTAATCAATTATGAACGAAATCCAGATACGTACGATGTAAGGATTCATATAGAAGGTAGTTTGCAAATGAATCCTGCCTTCAGGAAGGCAGGATTCATTTGTAAACTATATTGCATATGAATCCTGTATGATTCCTGGAGGCTGGATTCATTTGTAAACTATATTGCATATGAATCCTGTATGATTCCTGAAGGCAGGATTCATTTGCAAACTACCTTCTATATGAATCCTGTACGAATCCTGAAGGCTGGATTCATTTGTAAACTATATTGCATATGAATCCTGTATGATTCCTGAAGGCAGGATTCATTTGCAAACTACCTTCTATATGAATCCTGTACGAATCCTGAAGGCTGGATTCATTTGTAAACTATATTGCATATGAATCCTGTATGATTCCTGAAGGCAGGATTCATTTGTAAACTATTTAAACAGCGAATCCTGTATGAATCCTGGAGGCAGGATTCATACAGGATTCATATGTGCATATGAATCCTGTATGAATCCTGACTCCAGGATTCAGTGGTTTGATTCACATTTTTTGCTGTGTACATTATACACGTTGGTTATCCTTGGCACGAGACGACAAGATCATCCGTATTATTTCTCACTTTGTTACGTAAACAGAACACTGTTCACCAGCGCTGTTCACGTAAAAATAATGAGGAAATATCTTTACCATTCTGGCGTCTCAAAAACTATTCGTTCACAGACGTTTATATTTTCTGAAACATATTATGCTGACACACGTTTTTGCTAATAGTCGTAAAGATTCTGCCTATATCTTGTGAAATCATAGAAAATCGTACCCCCCCCTCCCAGAGGTCGCGACATATTGCTACCGAAACGGATCAGTTTTCGTAAACGTTTTTGAGAGTTTTCCCATACTGAGTATGCTAGGCTTGATACTATATAATTATGGGTACATATTATGGTACATGAACTGTGCATTTTTTCCATAGTCAACAGAGCAAAAAGTTTTATTAACCAATGAGATTTTATGTAATTATTTGTTAAGTTTAATGTAGAACTCTCATCTACATGTAGGCCTGTTATTCTCATTTGTCCAATAGTCGCACCACCACATTTAAATTGTTAAGCGACAAAAACAGATTTATCTCGAAATTGTTCCATCCGTTAGCTATAGGAATCATATGTCAGCTCAAGTATTCAATTTAGTGTATATCGAATTATACTAATGCTAATATTATATCAACGTATTAAACTAATCATATTTGAGACTAAATTAATTAATTTAATATTTTTAATGAACGCTGTCTGCCATAATGCGCTATGCACATATCACACTAAATATACGAACGGAATAATATGATTTGTTAAATAAATTAAATTAGTTTAAAGCGTTCGGACAAGAAACTCATCAACCTAATTGAAATGACTACTCCTCAAAGTCGCCAAAAGATTAGAGCTTTATTTAATAAACGGTGTCAGCTTTAGACAAGATATTTGGCATATAATGTATTAGATATCTTAGTGATAGCTTAGTAGAATCTTAAGCAAAGACCGTTGCCCCCTCGACTTTCCAACCCCTTATTGCCGCTCAAAGTGACATAATATGGAATCTCCATTTCATATATTTAGTGGGATAATATTTATATCTAAAAAAGGTTTTAAAGCTCTAACTAATTTCTGATTACATTTTCAACAGCTAGCTAAATCGTCTAAATTACTAAATATGCTGAAATATGATCTGATGTTGAGTAAAAAACAACGGGATCTGATTTATTCCTTCCCTAAGATTTTGAGAAGTTTTTTCCAGCCTTTAAATTGAAATCATTCGTGTATTCGTTTTCTTTCTAAACGCTTCCCTCTATATGTATGCTACCCCATACCAATATACGGGCCTCGTATCATCAAAGGTACCTTTATTAAAAACGTACCTGCACTCTTGCCTCTGAAAGCCCTAGTCTCTGACTGAGCTCCTCGCGCATGAAGGCATCTGGGTAGTGCGTCTCATCAAATAAGCGTTCCAGTTCATTCAACTGTTCAAGAGTGAAGTTTGTGCGGCTTCGTCTTTGTTTAAGTTTGGGTGTGTCATCATCTGAATCTTCTTTGAGGTGTGTCATATCTTTAGGTTCATTATAGGTGTCGCTAAAGTCGTCATTTTCTACGTCAATTTTAAGTTCTTCTGCAATATAAATATTCACTTAATGGCATTATCTATTCACTCGAAGGGGATTGCACGAAACGGAATTCCTTTTGGTTGGCTAGGATGTTCTGAAACTTCAGAATAGTTTATTTCAAGTACATTTATTTCAAGTATACATTACTTCAAATATTCATTGACACATCAAATACAAATTTGAAACCATTCACTTTGACAAAAGTGAAAACAATAAATAGCTTGAGAATGGTATGCTTATTACAAAAACAGATGTGTAAAAAGACCAACCAAAGAAATGGGCAAAATTGAAAATAAAACTATTCATTCTTAATGGTTTGAGGCCATTGGAATCGCGGAAGTGAATGACAACACACAGCCTATTAATCAATTATCGAGGTGCCCGAGTCATACATATACGTTGATAGAGACCAAGTACTAATTTCCTCAAAACACTATTTCCATGTTTTTTAGAGTTAATGGTCGCGTGGCACGATACAGATACTTTGTAAGATTTGCTTGACGAGGAAGAAAATTCCATCGGAGTCCTCCTGTTTAAAAGCCAAAGGGAAGGATGGAAAGCAATTGAGCATATCGACGGGACCATAAATCAAAGAACTACTATCGTTCGTCAGTAATTAGTGTACATGTTGGGTAATTTATGTTATAGTGTATAAAACATATCAGGCCCTTGGCTTGGATTTGCCAAGCGGTGTTCACTTTTTTAAAATTCCTGGGGGGTACACTTTTGACAACGTTGGCCCCAAAGATGGTTAAAATCACTTGAAAAGTGATCAGAATAGTGAAAAATTGCATGAATTTTTAGCCGGGTGGGGGGGGGTCGATGGGGTCGAATATTATGTCAAATATAATAGTTTTCCATGGAGTGAAATAACATTTTATAATGACCGACTTCACTTCGTAAACTTTAGTAGAACTTACTTACTATAATTAAATTATACATGTATCATGATATTGTCTTGTAAAAATTATTTCATGTTCGATTCAATAAAAAAATAAAAATAAATAAAGAATAGAAAATTTATATTGTATTGCTCTGAGTATACGCTTTGAAATGAGATAATAAAATTCCAAATTAGTGTGATGCTATTTAGTATGTGTTTAATAAAGGATTAGTGCTATTCGCATAAAACGTGCCATAAAATGCAGTTCTATAAATAAAAATTGCTTTTGATGAATATACCTCAAAATTAAGTGTCCATCTTCAAAACGAATCACCCGTATATGTTTTCCATAATATTTGTCTATTCAAATCTTTCTATTATCATAATGTATATTACTTATCATTCTATTTGCTCCCATGCTGAATGTAAATGCTTCATGTCCACGATATACATATATGTTTATATTTTCCTTTTGCAAATATTGCCCTTCGAGACATCATTATGGATTTAAACACGTGAAATTTTATTCACGGGCCTACCACCTGTTATCCTTTATGAAATATCTTTATTAATAATGAATAAAATCTTGATGGTTAAATTGCTCTATAATATAAACGTTTGGTTCATATGATCCGGATTCATTCCACTTGGTTGATAAGCTAATAGTCCAATAATTGGATCAATTTTAAGAGATATCAATTTGCATCTCTTGGGAAGAAGTGATTTTATAACGAAAATGAAAAAGTAAACATCAATGGATGGTTATTCAACATGCCGTATGGTTTATGAACTGCGCAAATGTATTGACTTTTAAAATATTAAATAATTCAAAAATATGTCAAATATTATTTGTTGATTTTTTACTGAATTTTATTTGAAATAACGGAAAGTTTAAATTATGCAATCGTAATAAAAAATGATAATTAAAACAGAAATCCGTTTATTGGATTGCTATTTGAAGAAATGACTTAATCCCCAGACCCATTCACTGTATATTTAACAAATATTTTATTAAAGAGACTTCGACAAAAATATTGTTGAATTATATTTACCTGTTTTGGAGATGGAATGATTTTTATTTGTTTCTTTCGTTTCGTTTGTCGTCATAATGTCTCTTTGAGTGAACTGAAATTGTCGACTTTTCATGGAAAGATCGTTTATTGTATTAATCTTAGGTTTATAAGTGTCACTTAGTATAGCTTCAACCGAGTGCTTGTTTTCTGGGAGTTCTTTAGGGGAGGCTTGTTTTAACCTGTGACTGTCTTGTTTTGTCGCATGCGCAACTTCTGTTGTATGGTGGTTTTCGTCAGGTGTGCGCGTCTCTCTCATGAGGATCGCATCTTGCAATAGTCGACTTGCATCAAAAGATTTACTGACGAAATTGGTTAATCCCTCCATTTCGGTTATCTTTTTAATTTTAGAATCCAATCGTTTGAATTGTTGTGTTCTATTAAGCTAAGTAGTTGTACTTCCTATCTTTCAATATTGAATATTAAAGAAAAATCTCCGGAAATATCCGAACAGACATGTATCCAATAAATGTTCCAAATTGTAACATTTAATAAAAGTGCGGTTGGTATCTTTTTGCTGGTGCAGTTGTTAAACGCATTCTTACTCTGACTTTTCGAGCGGAGATAAAATTCAATTGAACAAATGGCGAACCCTCCCATTACACATGCGCATGCGCAGTACATATCATCGTAATGAAATTAACACTAATTTTCAATTAGACTCTAAAGCGTTGTGAGCATCTTCTATTTGAACCAATGACCAGTATTTTGGAGGGAATTAGATATTGAGCGATTCTCATCTCAAACAGACCATTTCAATCTGTGCATCCCGCCGTTTCTATATCACTTGTATTTTAAGCTAATTCGCGCTTCCGTTTAGTTAGTTTAATTTCCTCAATACATACACCTCTTTGCACATGATACAGGAATTTCGTGTTAAAAAAGTGTTAGACTCAATAATTCGAATTTCTTTTCCGAGTCATTAGTCTATATCAAAGAACTGATTAAGTTAAGATAAAAGAGTAAATCTGTTGTATTCTCAGCGTACACTGAAAAAACAAATGTCATTGTTTGGGCTCAAAAAGCGGGAGATTTTAATACACTTCGCTATTGTTAAAGATTTTAAAGAAGTAAATGCAGTTTATATTTATCTGTTTTTTTTCTTTCAGTCGACGCACTTATATAACTATCAATATCTCACTCAAAGAATCTGAAACAAAAATCGCACGTGTTATATACATTACATGATATTTAATATACATAATATAATTCTATTTAGAAGAGTAAAGTTTTATTGTTTTTTGTTGATTTTTTAATTATTGAGATAATTACATATCAACAAGGGAGGATCTATTAAATTACATGTTTAACTATATACTTACTGGTCGGAATTGAATATAAAACCTTAAACCTTTAATAAAAGACAAAGCGTGATGTACTTTCTTGATAAGGTGGATGGTCGATTATGTTGCATCGGTCGTATTCATGTGAATAAAATTCCAATATTTTGAACATCACATGCTTTTCGAATCTGTCCTGCACATATTTTTAAAAATGAAATCATATGTTAAATTAAATGCCAGTACACAGATCTATGATTGTCAGATCATATTGTTTATTATTGACGTAAACATAACAAAAAGAGTTAATATATTGAAGGCAATGTGCATTAACAAATTGAACATATTTAGGTAAAGCTTTCCCTCGAATATAATCAAATATACTAGTTATGTTTTAAAATCAATAATAACTAAATAAAAAATAAATCTACAAGTATACTGAAAATACCCTCAACGTATACTAAAAAACTCCCAAAATTGTTGAATTTTAAGTAACGTTTATAGAGAGTACAGGGAAAGAACTGACTGAATATGGTATTCAAAAGGCAGGGTACTCAAAGCTCTCGGCTAATTAAACTTAATATGGCTAATAGGAAGACCTAATTGGGCCTAATCGATATGAATGCCAGTGATTAGACGGTAATTAATGATGAGAGTGTCTGATATTCTAGAAACTAGAGATATTCGCAGATAGACAATTTTATTTATTTGTATTTATTGGTGTTGCTAATTTAGTCTTCCGTTTGAGTATGCCCTACATACACCGCACGAAATGAACGATCACTACGTACACAATAAGGCCAGCTAATTAAACGATCCATTTTTGTTTGTCTCCAACTTATAGGATTTTAATACAGGTGTTAAATAATTTTTCATTTATAATCAGAACTGTTTAATATGTATTGCAACAAGTCTTTATTGACATTTGTACAAATATCGTACATTTTTATGGAGAAGTCCATACCGTAGTTTGCCGCGCGTCCTCTTGTAATTTATCCTGTGGGCAGAGTCTAATAGAAGTATTACCTTGATGAACTCTCTTTTAAGAAGCGAAGTTAAACTATTGCAAATGGTATACTTGTATTTGTTAGTAAGATGATCAATATCATTCCTTTACAATTACTGTTTTGCAAAACGGCTCTCTTTCATTTTTCTTATTGTGATTACTTAAGAAATTGGATAATAGAATACCTGAGTCTTGATCCCAAGGTCTTGATTAAATTTTGAAACATTTTGGAGTACGAATGATGTTTGCTGAGGTATCAAGTACACGTATAGTCCGTTCTATAAGCCCCTGGATCATTCATTATTCATGTACGGCATTGTATTCATAAATGACCCGCTTATTAAAGAAACAAATAGCGTATAATATACCAAATGGTGAAGTTTATTCAACTGACAACCCCAACTTAAATTCCTATTGTTAACTACACATTAGTGTTTACTCATGAAATTATAGAGCATTAATGGTTTAATTAATTTTAACGAAGGTTCAAGATTTGGTACTAATGAATTATAATGTGGCTTTGAACCGGTAATTGGAATTGAAAAGCGATCTATATTCTCGATAGTTGTATTGTGTTTTAATTTGATTAATCTTAAATACATTGGTATTAATAAATAGCATTGTTATTCTATCTAATTAGCGTTCATTAAAATACGGGGTATGGTTAGCGATGACCTGTATATCCAGCGGTAAGAAGGGCAACGAAATTATTTTTGATGGATACAAATTGCCCCGCCACCATTTCAAACGTTTTGTAATCTTTAGTCTGAATCGGATCCTGCTAAATGTGTTTTTAGAATTTCCAAAGTTGTTTTATTATAGACCTCGTTCAGCTGATTCCGTATTCTCAAAATAGAGAAATTAACTTGATTCGACTGACATCTTTTAAACTCTTTTTCTCGACAAGCCGACATACCTCCGTTTATTTCGTCCAATACTTTCGTCCCTTCTTTCCTTTTTATAACCAAAAATGAACGCATGGACGAATCTTTTCAGAGACGGCTCTGACATGTTGTTTGGGTTGTGATTTCTGTGTTTGTCAAGTAATTCATCCAAAAACATACATAATATACAATATTTCATAATGTTATAGCTTTTTATGCAGTTCGAATAGCGTAATTGGCATGCCCACCCCCCTCCATATGGATGGCCCAGAAAAAAATTGGGCCCAACATCAGTAATTTTTGTTCAGACTTGAAATGTATTGAAGTACTGGAATTTCTCAAGTAATAAATGGCCAGGTCGGAGCAAAATGTATCTATGTGCCCTCATCTCTTTGTAAGTTTTCAGCGCCCCTGCTAGGCACTGGATAGCCGTAACAAGATAAAAAATGATTGCAACGATCTTGCTCGGACACTAAAATATGCCGCCGATATTGTATTCAATCAATAGAAAGATGGCATTGTGATTTGTTTAAATCAAAGTCCTAAACAAAATACAGTACATATTTGCGAACCGTAACAAAATATCCATATTAATAATCATAGAACTTTGACAGAGCGTGTGAGGAGAGTGCACGTTTACAGTTGAACAGCACCGGCAAATGAAGATCGAAAAACAATAAACGATCAACAAACAATAGTTTATGTAAACAAAATTGAACGAAGTAGACCCAATCACTGATAACAGACCACTTCAAACGATAACTCGAGTACGTTTTACAATAATATATGTACAATAATTCCAAACAAAACGGATATACGTTTTGTTTACAAGCACAGCGTTTTCTTAAAATCAACAATCGACTCATGTAAACAGGCATGGGTATTACCGGGGGGGGGGGGGGGGTTGTTTTCAAGACACTTGAAGTTGTCAAACTCTAAACACTTAACCATCTTTTATCGAGAGTGGGCTCTTCATTCGTAAACATCATGGATGTTGTTCATAATAAAATGGTTCGGTGTCAACCCTTGTTAAAATATACATGTTGTGTCCCTGGCTCAGAATAAGGATGAAAACGATTGTGCTAGCATATAATATACTGATATTAAATTGGCCCGTAACCAACTTTAATCGATAGGAGGGCGTTTTAAAAGGGCAACTAATTTTTCAGTGGAGGGTGATTTTGACGTTTTTTTGTTAATTTTGATTTTTTAAACGCCTTTTCTGCCATTAAATAATGCCAAAAATACCCAACGTTCTACATCATATTTTTCATGCAAAATAAATTACTGAATTACTTTGATAAGCTTTGGAATGACCCCCTCCCCTCTGCTACGAACATGCATTAGTCTTTAAGCAAACTACGCAGTCACTGTTGCACCTCATTCTGTACTCATAGCATCTTTCTGTTTCACTCGAAACATCTCAGGGCTGAGAAGAAATGAGATGTCATGGTTTATCATGATGGTTGCACCTGAATAAACTCTTGTCAAGCAAGCATGCAAATTGCGTTTCGATTGTTTCAATCTGTTCTAGGATAAAGACTAGCACTGAATAAATATTTTCTTCACCCTAGATCAGTTCAATCATTTCAATGCTTGCACCATTTCCTCCATTTCAATGCGTACGTCATTTTGAGCATTTCCAACGTTTCAATCGATACGTCTTCGAATAGGAAATTGAAATTTTTCCCCTTGAGCGCGTTTCGCCGTTTTAAGGTTTTCAATCACAACCAATTCATAAAGAAATGGGCAAAATGATTGAAAAGAAAAAACGGACACGCATGTTTTTCGTTTCAAATTACTGTTTCGCTACTTGCGATTGCACATGTTTCGCCGTTTCAAGCATTTCAATCAATTCGCTTGACCTACTTTTAAGTTCTTGAATCATTTCAACCGTTTTAAGCGATTCGGCCGTTTCGCCTCCATTTGGAGCATTTCGCCGTCCAGGGCATACACCCCTTCCCGGTGTGAAAGAAATGATGGTCCCCCAGGGATTATGGTCCCCTTTCTTAACGGCCCTTACTGGCCCTGAGTGTGTATAAGATAATGAAGGAAAGAGTTGTATTTAGGTCACCATATAAATCGATGGAGAGTAGGACCATAATTTGATAGGACCTCCTACCCTTTTACACCGGGACACCACTTTACCTTCACCTTCACCTGTGCCCCCCTCCCTTCTACACCAAATTAGTTCTCACTACATGTACGTTCTCGAAAATTGGCTAAAAGGCCTCCTCACACATTAGTAAGGAGAATATAGATCTACACATTTTGCGCATTTAACCATTTGATAACATATTGTGGATCTTATCTTAATTTGTTAATGTGAATTCGCACCTTCATTTGCACGGAATACTTTTTTGATGATCTTTGTTAGAACGCTAATGTTTGGCTAAGCTTCAAAATTCCAAATTGAACAGTCTACTAAGAAAACCATGATGTAAAATCGTTTTTTTCAAATTCTTTATAATATGTGGAGCTAGGACTGCTCAAACAAATTCGCTTTTTGTACATCAAGTATTTAACAGATGATAAACTTCTCAATATGAGAAATTACCCTCATAAGACTGTTACAAGGTGTGCTATAATGAATGTGACACCCCGCATTATGTATTTTCGAAGAAAGCATATATTTGCATTCATGTTTTTACCAAGATGTATAGATAGTTATCTTATTTAGATAAAGTTTTTTAGATAAACGTGGAAACCTATTTTAACCAGTAAGGATTTAATGCAACTTTTTTTTCAAGATCCTAAAGAAGAAATTTTCGTTGTATAATGTGTTTTATTTTAAAGACGCACCTGTAAAAGTGTGCCCATGGTATAAAGGCGTAGTCCTAAATAAATAAATAAAAGGGAGGTTAATATACAGTACACGTTTTTTAAATTTGTACGTGAACGTGTAGAATTATGTAGTTAATGTAGTTCTCCCATTTGTTCTGTTAATACGTGGCCGGTTGAGTAAAAAGGTATACATGCCCCTAGCCAACCTTTGGTAAGGGGATGGGGTGGTCGAACCTCGATTGTATGTGTGGATCCACACATACAATCCTTATCATGCTTAAGCAACTTCACATTGTCATTACGAGGGTGTTATTAACGAGACACCAAGACATGAGCCCAAACATAAGGGAGGGGTCCAATATATTTCCGCTGCGGAAGAAAACTAGGGCCCAACATTCGAGAAAATATGTCCAGTGATGCCACATTTTTAAAAAATGCCTATTATTTAGTTGATTTAGAAGGAACGAAACTGCGTATTCTGCGTAAAGCTACGCCTATTTTGTAGTTAGGCCTATTTTTGGGGCCCATTTGTCCGGGGCCCAACTTAAGGGGGGGGGGGTTGGTTAACCCTCTCATGTCGGCCAGTGAGACAATGTAAGCTTTTGCAACGAAAACCATCGATAAAAAAAGACATTTAAATTTTAATACAACAAACGAATCATTTAGGCACTTGCGAACCTTAAAAAAACACCTATACTTTCCAAACAAAATTTTAGTAAACAAAGAATGGGAAATAGGATATATAATGTCATATAAAAACAGTCTAGTCTAAAGTAAACACATAACTATAAATTTGAACAACTTACGCTCCCCTGCATAAGTTTTGCAATCGGAAGTAACCTTAGTACCCCGGACAGGTTGTATGATGCAGTCGTTTTTTTACTCTATATTTGCAATAGAACAATCATTCTTATTAAAAATTTCAGATTTTATTCTGGAGACAATTTCCAACATGGAAAAAAAATATTTTATCGAAATTCCCAATTTTATGATTTTGACGGGCTTTTTTCAAAAACACTACACTGTCAATAAAATACAGCTTTTTGCTTGAACAATTGAACCTTTAACGTCATTTCAAATGTTGTCTGGCTATTGAATTTCCGGCCGCCTTAAGTCTTTCCAGATATATCTGTTGCCATATTAATAATTATGGCTGATTATTGTTATTCACTTGAGTCATATTCAATATTATTACAGTGCATTAGGCCAATAAAAACTTGTTGCTCTGGGTCTCGTTTTGTGAAGCGTTCCCTACATTGAGCCCAGATAGAGGAGGTCAATCTTCTTGTCCACGGACATGAGTTCAACCCGATCGAACTGTTCGATACTGTCCAAAATGAAGTAAAACATTACGAATCTCCAATTTCAAGTATTCTTGGCATTAGATTCTTCAGAGATGTTAATATAGCTGTGTCAAATTTTATCATGAAATTGTCAGGGAGACCTGACATTTTAAAAGCATGGTACAATTTATGTGCCACGGGCTTGCATGCTGAGTGACGGTGGAGGAAACCCCAGCTGAGAAAAAGGTGCGTTTTCAGAGGAAACATGACCCAGAGTGACAAGTTTTCCATTGGCCTAATGCACTGTAATAATATTAGGCCTATTGAATATGACAAAAATGAATAACAATAATCGGCGATAATCAATATGGCATCAAATACATCTGGAAAGACTTTAGACGGCCAAAAATTCAATAACTAGACAATCTTTAAAATGACGTTAAAAGTTTAATTGTTCAAGCAAAACCTGTATTTTATTAACAGTGGAATGTTTTTGAAAAAAGCCTATCAAAATCATAAAATTAGGAATTTCGTCAAAATATTTTTTTTCCATGTTGGAAATTGTCTCCAGAATAAAATATGAACATTTTAATAAGAATGGTTGTTCTATTGCAAATATAGAGTAAAAAAACGACTGCATCATACAACCTGTCCGGGGTACTATGGATCACTTGACAAAGTCTGTTAAAATTTCCAGGCAATTAAAACAAAATCATAAAATTTGTAATAAATTTCCGAGCTATTGTAGAAGGAAATTAAATTAAGATTAAACACTAACAGGCTGTCCAATAAAAAATATCAGGTTGCAAAACTTATAGAGGGGAGTATATAGTGTATGTATACACACTACAAATGTAAACTTGATGATAAAATATAATAAAACCAATAGACTCGGTGACCTCAAATCAGGCCGTGATAAATATTTCGGATATCAGTACAAATGTGTGTTGTGTATGCATATATATTTATCAACACTTCGTTTTATGACTTCAATTGGAAAAACAAAGATGCATAAGGAAGCCAGACACAACCTTTAAACTGAACTAGATAATTAAACTACAATAGTATATGCACAGGAGGAAAACAGTATTCTTGAGAACCGGACTGAAATGGGGAACACTACGGTAAAATGTCACACATACTCCTTAACGAAGGATCATCAGAGTTCGGATATAGACAGAAATGGGCCGTGTGATTTTTCTTATTCTGACAATGGCAGCGATTTGGTGTTAGTTATAGAAGGGAAGCGATTGTATGTTCATAGACAAATTCTAGCGAAATATTCTCCAGTGTTTTCTGCCATGTTAAGTGATGATTTCAAGGTAAGGGAGATAGAGGATGTTTTATGTATATGCATGATGATAAAGATCTAATCATTTATCAGGATTAAAGAAAATGATTAATTAATACGATATTCTATATTAATGAAATATTTGGCCCGTTTTATGAATTTATGTATTCATTGATATAAATTAATATGGTTTGTTTTTGGTAATATCAAAGAATATAGTTAAGTAAGTCAGTAAAATATTTATCAAAGTCTCACACTGTTCACATTATACATACTTAAATATTAACAGTCCAGTTGGCTTCGGCCAAAAGAAAGCTATGGTATAAATATGTCAAAATATTAGTCTATATGCTCAGATGTAAAACGGATAAGGAAAGATAATGAATTATTAATTACTAGTATATAATTAGGCTTAATTGGTGATTGATCGTTGTGAAGTTTTCAAAAGTTTATAATTTCCTCAAGTAAAATTTACAAAATGGCGATATGGCGTCATGGACCGATGCATGGTTTTAACAAAAATGCCTGCATTTTAGGCAACTTTTCGGCATCCTGACCATGCTCGTTTAGTTCAAGTTAAAGCGATCGATGTTTCTTCGCTATTGACCTACGTCTTACATGCAGTTGTATTTTGATGCCATTCAGTTATTTTTTATATACAAATAAAAACCCCTTTCAAAGTGTTTTCATCGCGTGCATATACATATACTATAAGGCCGATATAATCAAATTGTATGTTTAACAGACTATGTCTGTATTGACATTTGTTTAACACACGCACTTGAGCACTTTTGATGCCTTTTTAATCGGCAAACATGAATATTCTTAAAGACCCTATATGGGGTTAGTTTATTTGTCAAACTTTTTTTGAGGAGTGTACATACTAAGATTTGTTTACATATTCCTCCTGTTCGGTAGTTCATAATTCTTTGACACTTTATTTGAAAAAAAGCTTTCCATGCAACTTCGATCATAATCTGAGTTCAAAAACATCTGGGCTGTGTATGTATATAACATGTATGTTTGTTTGTGTACGGTATTTAGGTTATATTGGCCTATTTCAATAGTATGTCCTCGCCGAAACAAATAGCTGTTTTTGTTGTTGACTGGCCTACATAAAACTGTTGAGGACACGCTATGAAAACACGGTCACCTCTTTTTATCGTTGATCCTATAATTATTAATTAAGATATCGACAAAATATCATATCTATCACCTTGATTTAATATTGTTTTGTTTAAGCCTAGATGCGTGCTGTTGAAATTGAGAAACGCACATTTTATCGACAACATTTTAGCCGTGAAAGTAAATAATCGAAAGAACTTCATAGTCTCTCTTATATACTTTAAAGTTCCTGCACAAATAGTGTCTATCTCTGTTGTTCACCTTAACGTTATTGTTGACTTATTTCTAGGTCAACAATAAAGCTGAGGTTTACAAAATCGACCAGCTGCCCAGCAAACAACTGTGAAGATCTATGCAAGAGATATACCGAAAGAAATCGCTTATTTAGACCGATCATGGAATAAAATTAAATACACAATTCATTTATTTTCAGGAACGGGAGGCCAAGGAAATCCCACTCCCCGGGAAGAGTTACAAAGAGTATCGTGAGCTGCTACGGGCTGTGTACTGTCACGGGGCGGCTCATAGCAATCGTGACAAATGTTGGCCCTACTCTCACTTACATGTAAAGCCAGAGACATTTCTATTACACAGTGAGTTCATTCTATTGTAAATATGGGAAATGAAACGAATAACCACCCATCGACTAGCGGATCCATAAGCAAACACATTTACAATCAGAAAAACAATTTTTGGCCCCTAAATCAAAAGATTGGGCCCAAATTCTTCCCCCTCCCTGGATTCGCCAGTGCCCATCACACATAACTTAGAATGGTTATTTATTTGATATGAGGGGAAAATATCGATTTTATGCAAAGGAAATGTTATTTTAGTATTAACAGCCGGGCTATTCACCAAAGGAAGAATTTAAATAGGATTGTCCAAATGAAGATAGCATTCTTCATGGTCCCAATTAAAATATCATTCCTGAAACGGGATCAACTTTAATGCCATTACTGGATTCAATATTTTCGAATGAAATGTCAAAAGTATGTTGATGTTTTTTCCCCAGGAAAAAGATGCCTTCGCGACGTTCTATTTTGATTGTTCTGTATTTGTCGGTCTAATCTATCCACTTCAGATGACACTAACCAATACTTTATTGTATGTATTTCAGATGAGAACGTATACTATCTACTTTCTCTGTCGGATGAATACCAAATAGATGCAATCAAAGACAAATGTGAAGAGTTCCTCTGCCTAACAACCACACAGAGTAATGTTACTGAACATCTATACCTTGCCGAACTATATGATCTCAAAAAGTTGCTCAAAACAATTGTCCCCATTGCAGCTAAAATCTCTTCACATAAACTTAAATCTAGTCCATATTATACTCATATCTCTGATAAGGTACGAATCTCGGTAAAAGTGACCAAAAAATGCCAGAAAAAACGCGCAGCCATTGAGGAACATGATAAAACGAGATACATCTACATGTGTAGGTCGGCGATGGGACCGATGTATTCCATCAATTATCTCAGTCCTAACGCCAACGTGACAGCGCGGGACATTTGTTACACATATGCGGGTATATTTTGACGTCCCCGTTATCACGAAAATGGTAGATACGTTATACCAGTGGACAACAAACTTCGGTGCAATTTATTGACTGACAGGTTTACATGCATTATTGTGATAGCCATTATTTTATTGACAGTGATGATTTTCTATTCCATGACACCCACCCTCCTTAGATATCTAAATTAAAACAGTCAGGATATATGGAACTGAAACATCTACATCATTCAGAAGTGCAATATATTTCACATGTTCCTAAATCCCATATGCACGGCCAGTGACGGATATTTCACATGTTCCAAAACCCATATGCACGGCCAGTGACGGAACACTGTTCTTGTTATTCGCATAAACTTGTATATTAATTTAAAAAAATAAAGAAACAAAGAAGTATATTTCTGTGTTTTTTTATTTCTGTACACATATATTATTCAAGAAGCAAGATCTGTTTGAACAAAAGGTACCATGCTTGTAAGCCATCCTATATTTGCCACTATCATTTTTACTTGTCAAATAAGCTAAATGTTTAAAAATGTAAGAAATTTTCTCATTGATAAATGTGATCTTACCATGTTTATGCATTATGTCAATATCCCCCCAATCCGAGTAATTTATCTGTCTATAAGCTAAGCATGTCGCAGTGACCTTTTGTTATAAATGCTCCAAGATGCGTTATGTTTCGATTGTAGTATGGTACTACTGAACCGAAAAGTATAAAGGGCATATAAGGCATTTTATAAGGACTATACCTTTGTATTGTATTTTACAACATATTATTTGACTAGAATGATTTTAATAACATATGCTCACTCTACTATACATAACCCCTAGAAATGCATAAGATATTCTGTTTGTCTAATTGTATTGTTTAGTATATTTTTGAAAGTACCTTATTAACATTCTAACAGTAATCCAATAAACCATTCATAAGCAGCTGACACATAAAAATAAATAACATAATCATTACTGATATGCCAAATGGGTTGCTCATGAACATCAAATGCAAGGATATACACTGTAGTAGAGTGATGCTTTAAAATCCAAATACTTATTGGACCTGATGCAAATTTGGACACATACATTGTTTATATCATTTTCCTATCGACTGATCCCAGGTCAGTAGCCAGGGGGGGTTAGTTGGGTTTCTCATGGGCCATTTTTGAACTTTGAATCTTAAATAACTTCGATATGATGATACAATATGATACATCAAGGATCATTTGAGATAAACCCTACTTCATGGTTAAGAAGAATCCACGTTTTTACCTCCAACATCTTTGATTCTGAATCTTACTATAGATTTTCTTTACATAAAAAAGTTGTATACGGAACAAAAATTGCATTTTTGGAAGTAATTTTTTCCAAATATGCATAATATCTTAAATTAGTCACATAGCATTTTAAATATTCCAAAGATGTACAGATACTAAGATACAATTTTATATCTTGGATATATAGATACTTGTTAAAGTACCAAAGATAATCCACTAAAACAGGTGTTTCTGTACTACATGTAACCCAGACCCGTAGCCAGGATTTGTTTTCAGTTTTCAAAAATTTCCAGGGGAGGTTCACATTTGACAATTTTGGCCCAAATATGTCTAAAATCACTTGAGAAGTGCTCAAAATGGTGAAAAACTGCATGATTTTGAAAGAGGGGGGAGGGTTCGCCGAAACCCACTGAACACCCACTGATCCAAAAACTTTTGACTTGTTCCAGAGGTTCCAGATTAGACTTGTTCCTGATTAGACTAGTATTACTGTCTGTATATCAGAACTCATCGCATATTTGACAGAGTTCAGTGTATCATTGTCTGTTCTTGAAATCAATATTTCCGATATCTATGTATTCACCATACAATGACAAGTATTAACAACACATGTACACATTTTACATACAAACACTGATGTATACAGTAAAAAAGAAAATTGCATCTTTTGCAATCAATTAAATAGGACGGTGATTGCAAATATTAACAAAAAATGTAGTTTCGGCGTTTAAATGAGATATAGTCATACTGATAAACAGAACATGCAGATTGGCCTTCAAAATTAAAGTTCTCGAATTATGGTCAACTTGCAAATTGAAATATTTTGGGTGATTTGCTTCCAGAAATAGACCAGCTGAAACAATAAAATTACTATGGAAAGGGAAGGCTTATCATCAAATTAAGCATATTTTAAGAATTGTCAGTTCCATGAACATTCCCAAATGAATTTCCATGGAAATTGATCAACGTCCAAGATTCCGCAAATCCATTGTCTGATGGGCAAAGGTACGCGTTCCATTCGTTCACACGCTTTCCACATTGTTACTTTTAGGCTTAAGCTAACCTCTGCGTTCGGGGCTGGCCACAGGTAAATCCTGGAGAGATTTTACTGTTAATTCATAGTACACAACATTTCGTGTTATATATTGGTCCTAGGATGCACCATGAGTAATACTGGAGCTCATACCTCAGACTGATAACTCCCAGCCATAATATAAGAGTATATATTCTGTTTGCAAGACAGATAAACATAATGAGTGTCAGAATATAACTACGGATAGGCTACATTTTCATTTTTCGTCAACTAGCAAGTGACCACAAAAGATGATGTGAATACAGGTTGACAAGCATTCCTCATCTAGTCATATAAAGTGGTTTGCTCTTTAAGCGGACCCAAAAAGCATTTTATTAATAAATTAGTTGTAACATTGCGGCTATGTATCTTCTATTTCTTTGCAATGGCTAATCCAACAAGTGCGCCTACAGCTGCTATTCCAAATGCTGCTGCTCCTCCCACTGCCGCCATGCCAATTAACCCATCTGAAAAAATTACATCCATTTTCAGTTTAAGCCCCTCACGGCAGAACTCTTCCATGTCAAAATTCTAATCTGAAGTTTTGTCAAAATTGACACACAATGATATAAATAGGTTCTTTCATTCAGAGTGCTGCCATCTTTCAATAAACAAGCAAATTACATTCATGTTGTCAATCAGTCTTAGTAGTACCAAACAAAAATTTCAAAAAGGCCTTAGTTAAGCTTTAATTTCAAAAAGGCCTTGGTTACCTTTATGTCCTGGTTAAGAACCCCTATTCTAACTATTGAAAATGGATTCTAGCAATATTCACCAACATGAATCTACTTGTTGAGACCCGATCAACTTGCATTTCTGAGAAAATGAGGATTTCAGCAAGGGTGCCATTTAGTGGTGTCAATTAACCGCTTGAGCATTAACCGGTTAACCGGGGTTTTTTACCGGTTAAAGTCGGTTAACCGGCGGGAAATTTGAACTTATAATTTCAAATGAAATCTTCATCTTCGATCTTGAAAGACAAGATATATCGGCGTTTATTTTTTACGTTCGTCAAGCTTTACGCTATTCTATGTAAGTAAGCGCGGGAAAGCAATGTGGCAGGGATTAAAGTTGCTGATTGGATGTTTGTAAGGAATTATCGGACCTATCACATGTATGAGTAGCTCACATGAAACTGACACTTGAAAAACAAACAGATTAAAATGCAAAGTAAGCGCGGGAAAGCAATGTGGCAGGGATTAAAGTTGCTGATTGGATGTTTGTAAGGAGTTATGGGACTTATGACATGTATGAGTAGCTTACGTGAAACTGACACCATAAAACCAAACGGATTAGCATGCAAAATAAGCGCGGGAAATAACAGAATTATACACGGTCAACTAACCGCCCATAAAAACTCAGACCGGTCAAGGCATTATCGGCGGTTAACCGGTTAACCGGTTAATACTTGACACCTCTAGTGCCATTGAGGTATAAGGGTGATGCAATCGATTTCATCCTGCATATCTACAGTACATATGCAGGATGAAATCGAACCCCCCCCCCCCCCCCCCCCCCCGGCTACGGGCCTGGGTTCTTAAACAGGACATCGGGCTTGCTTTTTAGAACAATATAGTTAAAATGAGTTAAAACACAATGTCAACATTTTATTTACAGCTAACAAGATGAATCACAGAGTTGAATATCTTGTACACAGGAGGAAAACTATTTGGAGAAACTTGAGAGTTTTTAGTTTTTAACTTTTTTTTGATTGCTTTAACATTTTGAGGATAGGTGGTTTACAGTTGCAAAACTCTCATACAACAGGTGGTTGACAGTTTAGAATAACTGATATTAATCTACAGGGTGTGCACAATATGTTGACCCCTTTCAATTCTTTATAGTCATGTTGTAACGATACATAAGAATTTGTGGTTTAAATTGTTATTGCTTAAAGAGAATAATTGGTACTGACCCACCCTGTATATGAATGTATCAAAACTATCTTTTTATCACTCAATTTGGACATCTTAATAATGATCGAAATTAAAGCAACGAATCTCTGCCTTAGTTCTATAATGCATGCCGAAGTCCTATAAACCATATAAAACACACCTGTCCTCCTTTTCTTCCTTATATAATCTTCCAACTGATGGGCTTGGTGATTCTTTGGCTCCACTTGCTTAATTGCATCTGTGTACTTTAGTGCTTTGTCAAAGTCCTGTCACAACAAAAAATCATAACAGTTTTTTAATACAGGTTGTTCACTAGGTAAAGCTAATATTGCTCTAAAACTTTATACCTCATCATCAATCACTAAGATTTTGTACATATGAAGCATTTGGCATGAATCTTACAGCACTTTTACAAATCCTCAAAATTAAGAATCGCCAAATGAAGTTGTTCTTACAAAGAAAGAGCAAACTAAATGTTTGCCAAAAGATTAGGATCAAGAAATAAGAATGGGAACAATTATAATAGAGATTGCATGAGAGTTCTAGCTTGTTTCAGTTATTTCAATAATACATCTGTATTATAACCTAATATGTTGAATAATACATTATACATGTAATTGTGAAAATGAACATAAAATAGTTTACAAGTAATTTGAATCTAACAAGAACATGACAGGTCCTTCAAGATAACTCACCTTTAATTTACAATTAGCTACTGCAAGGTAGAATAAATAGTCTCTCTTGGCAATGTCATCTTGACTTTTGTGGAATAAATCTGAAAAAGTACAAATGCATGGTTGGGTCATAAACAGCAATGAATTTCTCTGAATATATAGGATTTTCTTAAGAAGCAGACATCAGACAACTTTACGCGATTCAATTTTATGTCATACACATTTATGTAGTTGTTATAACCAAATTGCATTTTGTTTGAGAACTTTGCAACTTCTTTGATGTTTGATTACAATTGTTAATAGTTTGAAATTGTTGTTTTCAATATTTTATAATGGAACTTTTGAAATGCACTGTTTTCCTTTTTTTACTTTGGGAATGTTATATTAGTTATTACAATTGATTCTAGAAAAGACCATGATCAACTTGAAAAGTAATTTCTTAAGACCTCATAAGTTAGAGCTAGTGGATTCATTAAGATTCAAAAAGCACTGTATCAAACCTAGTTACTTGGATGGAACGTCAATGTAACAAAATGGATGAACTCTCTCTTTAAGAGTTTTCTGTTTTCTCAATTTAAACCTACTTATAAGTCAAGCTGCAGATTACAATCTGGCACAAAGCTAGAAAATATAGTCTAGTTTCAATAAGTTTCTTCAATTTGGAATTTGTTTTGCAAATGAAGTTGCAATTCATATATTCAGCCCCTCGCTTTTGTTACAATGACGAAAGTCCGTTTTATTACCTTCCGTCAAAGTAAATAGTTGTGGAACAGTGAAAAGGTACAGTAAATTGCTTTAAGGCATTATTCAATTTGCCCGATATGTGAACTTTTTGAACAGATGTTTCTCTCAAACCAGTCATCAAAAAATTCTGAAAATTTTACACATCGTCAATTCAATGGTCATCTTTTGAATGATAACAATAACATTTGAAAAATATTAATATACTTTTCTCTGTATTGTTTTAGAAAACACATCAGTCACTTATTTTGTTCTTGCTATCATATGTTATCAAGTCCACCCGCTATGGCTCAGTGGCAAAGAGAGTCAAGGTTACCAATATCGCTTGGCCCCGGGTTCGATTCCCGGTTCAGACAAGTTTGTTTGTGCGTTATGTAATTCTGGGTGTTTGACTGAGTGGTTCACGACTCGGCTGTGGTGTGTACCTGTATGTATGTGTACCTGTGCACAGAAAACAGGGCTCCTCCAAGGAGGGGTTTCTGGCTCTATCTTCAAGTGTAAAATACGTAAAATACGGAAGATACCAATGAGGTATTGCTCGCCAAATATGGCGGTAACCAAGATATAATAATAATAATAATGTTCAGAATGAAATGAGACATATATCCGAACAAAACCACATATTGTAGATTTTCAGAAATAATTTAAATTGACATTTATCCATGTTCTTTTCCAGATTCCCATTATGCAAAGTAACACATAGAAAGGGTATTGGAGGAAAGTCCCAAGGATTTTTTTTCAAATAATTAAGGGAATTTATTGTACTGAATGTATCCTTACCCTCAAGCAGTGGAATAGCTTGTTTGATATTTGTTTGGTTCCTGGACCTTATCAAGCACCAGGCATAGTTAAACTGTGCATCGTGGCTAGGGGGTCCTTTGGCACTCTGGTCAACGAACACTTTCTCAAATTTCTGTAAAATAAATTACGAAAAACAGTACAGTACAGAAACCACTACTTCATATTCACTCATATAACTACAGTATTAGCTTTGTTTTGTCAACCATAAAGACTAAGCAACCTATCTAATAGAAAGATGTGTCTTATCGTGAAAAAGTTTGTTGACATATTAGTCAACCATGTCTGTAGACCAACAATTTAAACCCCATCTGGCTTAATGCATTGACTTTTCTTGGGGTGAGATTGGGTTTAATTTCAAAGCCATGCATTCATGCATCGTACATTCTGGATCGATTGAAACCAATTTTCCTCAATAATATGTGACAGATACTTGACATTAAAAGTAATCGTAAAAAGTAAAATGTAGTAAATGTAATTGTAAAATGTGACTATTCTAATCAATTATTGAAACATATTTTCCCATCAGCCGCCTTAACTTTTTGTGTGAAAAGAAATCGTTGTTGAATGATATATGATAGCCATCTGACGTATTCCAAGGAATATTAAATAGAGAATAACATGCAGCTTGTTTACTGTCCTTGTCAATGGTGTTTCATACAGTGTGTCAAATGCAGTTTGTTTATTGACACGATTTGCCATTTCGATGTTCCCACAACTGAGCCAGCTTTTCCCAAAGCCGTCTCCAAAACATTTGAAATTAAACATGAAAAAGGACACGGGGGATATGGGATGATGTGTTTTTATTCATAAAGTATGTATGCTTGCTTCGATCTCATTTTTTTAATGAGTAACATCACAAAATTCATGAATTATTACAAGCTGAGACTAACATTATGACGGTCTCAGTTACAAGTGCATACCAAAAATTCTTGCCCACTCATGTGTATGGAGGAATATGCTAAAAAGCTAAACCTAGTGGGGCCACAAGATAGGTCAGATAAGAAACAAGGTCCAGACTAGGTTTGCTGTGTTATACTAACTAGTGATAAAGTTATTGAAATCTTGGAAGTTGGATGGTTTACAATCATTTGTGGATGAGTCTAAGAGATGATGCAAGAATTAACCATAACTGTGATGACACAGTTAAAGTGCACTAGGAAGGGTCAATTGATTCGAATAACGTATGATCCAAAAGATATCAAATCAAATTAGGCTGCATTTGCACTTTGTATTGTAAGCAGCCAAGAAGACCATGCATCAAGTTACTTTCAAGTGTGGGTTGAATTTGGAGCATTCTTGCATACATTAATTAAGAAATATAGACCAAAGAGCAGGGTTTCTAGTTTCGAATAACACCCAGCTGGTCTCGGCACAAACGTTTTCTGTACCCCGAACGACCAAAGGGAGTGAGGGGTTCGAAAGCTTTTGTGCCGAGACCAGCTGGGTGTTATTCGAAACTAGTAACCCTGCTCTGAGGTCTATATTACGATTCGAACATGAAAACTCACCAAATTGTTTCGAATATTCATCATGGTCCGCCATTACTACGACCCACCGTTATGACGTTACACATTACACGTATTAACTGGGTGATTGATCTCGAATATAACCCAGCTAAAGCATTGACTTTGTTTACAGTTTATAGAAGGCGTGAACACAGTTATGTTCGAATTTGTTATAAAACTTAATTGTTGATCCATAAGTTGATTCATAGTCAGAGCACGATATATGAATCACATCATCAACAATCTAAACTTAGATCGAGAGGCAGAGCGATGAAAAAAAAAATATCAAAATGTGAGATTTTATGTCGACGTACAGTAGCTTTTCATGACAATTTAGCAGCTGGTTCGATACAAATATATTGTAAATTATATAGGTGAAAACAGGATACAACAAGCATGTATATTACCTTGATTTCAGCCTCAGAAGTGATTCCTTCTAAAATTTCTTCCATTTTCTTCTGGTTTGAAGAGTGCCATGAGACGCCAAGTATAGAAATACGTTCAAATAGCGAACGTAATTTACATTGGTTCGTTTTCAAGTAATTTCAGTTTTAGTTTTGCGGCCATAATCGAGAAAACATTAGTTATCGCAGAAAGTCTAATAGTTTTCTTGCTATAATCTTTATTCTCACCCAAGACTAACCCTAATATCTGCAACCTTTTTTATAGCACGAAGTCGAAAGAGGAGTCATTTGCATGGACACCCAGTGTGAACTTACTTGTCTGATTTCCGGATATTTTACAATTGTTTCCAAGTAACAACGTAACTATAATTTTTAATGAATTTTATATTTATTTGCATCAACTTCCGACTATCATTACATTGCCCCTCTACCACAAATCACCGGGATTTTACACCAAAAGTGTCACTCAAGGGTGGCACGACTTAAAAAACTTGCAAAAAGTTGAGCCCCCCCTGTTGATACATATGATTATACTTTCCTATGCTTAGAAATAATAAAATATAAGCTTACCTCTTTACAATCAAACTTTAAATATTTAAGAAAATATTTTTCATTGTCCAATAATAAAATCTTTAATATTAAGCCTATACTTTCAGCCAAAGTCAGTAGATGTATTTTTATTAAAATTTAGCCAACTTGTTTAACTCTGGGGCCGTTGGGATGGGCTAAAATTGTTTTACTTTTTGATCACATGCATTTTTACCTCTAACAACATTCCACTTTGGAGCATATCTTTTCAAAGCATCTGTGTTATTTTGGGCCACTAGTCAATACTTTTTTCTAATTTTTTTATAGATTTTTTTGAGGAACGAGCCTCTTTTTTAAAAGACAAAATATCAATTTTAAAAATCTGCAATACAAAAAAATCTTATGTACCTTTTCAGAAAAGGACAATTGCAATTTAGTATTGATGGTGATTTATAACGGCGGCTAATAGATGTTTTTAAAACTAGGCAAAATCCGGAAGATTGACTTTATTGCTCTAGAACTGTTCTATAAGGGGTCTTAGTGAAAGATTGATTAACATGGGGCTCAATGTACGTGCAACATTTTCGAGCCCTACTATCCACTATCCTATCCTATACACTATCCTATCAACTGGGCCAGTTCAATTTTACACCGCTTCGACTGTCGACACGTAACCTAAATAATAATACGCAGTATTGATACTTAGACATACCTGCCAACCTAAGACGGCCAAAAATTTGCGGTAGTTTTTTGGAATTGCGGATATTTTTGCGGTATATTTTTTCAAAATGCGGTAGTTTTAGCGGTATTTTTCGACAAAAATGCAGTCACGGTAAATTTTGAAAAAAATTCGGTAGTTTTTTCGGTAGATTATAAAAAAACGTACTTTTTCGAAAGTTTTTGAAAAATGCGGTAGTTTTACGGTAGATTTTGAAAAAATGCGGTAGTTTTGCGGTAGAATTTTGAAAAACTGTAGTTTTGCGAAGGAATTTGTAAAATGCGGTAGTATTCAAGTAGATTTTGATAAAAATAAAAAAAAAAATACGCAGTAATGATACTAAGACATACCTGCCAACCAAAGACCAAAAGTTTGCGGTAGTTTTTTTTGATCAACCACATAGCTTGACTTGAAAAATGCAGTAGTTTTACTGTTAATTTTGAAAAAATCGGCGGTTTTTTCGGTAGATTATTAAAAAATTGTACTTTTTCGGAAGTGTTTGAAAAATGCGGTAGTTTTACGGTAGATTTTAAAAAATGCGGTAGTTTTGCGGTAGATATTTGAAAAAACGGTAGCTTAGCGGAAGATTTTGAAAAAATGCGGTAGTTTTTGCGGTAGATTTAAAAAACTGATTTTGCATAGATTTTGACACATTTCAATGAAAATATAATAAAAGAATGCTTTTCTAACACAGCAATCATGGAAGTCTTCTATAAACAGACTAACAATTTGAACACTTTAGTTTTTATAGTACAGTAGAACCTGTGGTACACGTTGAACACGGTGTTTTTGCATCATGATACTCCCAAGTGCCGTGTTGACTGATTACACGCTAGCTTACTGAGTTACTTACTAAGTACGCAATAACCACTGTCACAGACGTGCCACAACCTATTTATTTTCGGGTTGTAATATAATATTACTAAGGGCAATACGGGATATGCGAAGACTTCAATTTTTCAGAATTTACAAACAATAACAATAGATTTTACGGTATTGGTTTGAACAATAATACCGTTAATTTCAGCAGAAATACGGTAGATTTTCAAATATTTACGGTTTATTTTACGGCCGTTCTTATTGAGAAAAATCGAATTATAATAAAATATTTTGCGGTAGATTTCGGTAAAATTACGGTAGCTTATTTTTACGGGAAAACATGGTAATTTTTTACGGCAGTTTGTAAAAAAAAAATTTACGGTAGATTCCCGTAAAATACGGTAGGTTGGCAGGTATGCTCCGGTCAAAACTGTATAGTATGTTGGTTTTATAGTCTGACTCCACTACTGTTTATATTATGATATGATATGATGTAATATGTTATAAATGATTGTATATGTTCACGTAGGCCTATGTACAACTCTAAGCTGTGATTTTAAACAGCAGCTGAATACAGTGGGAGCATTTAGGCACATTGTAGATAGCGCACTAAGAAGAAGGGAGATCGCTGTACAAAACAAAGTCCAAGTTTTTAACTACAGAACTGTGTCAAGCTACTCAGGATCAGTATGGCAGGTAGGTAGTTTAACTGTAGTTACTAGAAGCTGAGACTAACATAAAATGTTTATGTTAGTCTCAGCTAGAAGTAATCTGTAGTACTAAAAACTACTACAGTTTGAACTATATACTACAGTAAAATTTTAAATGTTAGGAACTACTTTGAATTTAAAAAATAAGCAATCAAATGACTATATTACAACAGTATATAAAAAAATAGAAACCTATGTACATTGTACTTGTCCTAACTTTTGTATATTTGAGATAGTTATGTATAATGTGCAGTAAAGCTGTGACCTTCTGTAATTTAGGGAGTTTCAGCCATGTCAATTTTTTCCGAAAATAACATGGCGGAGAAGCATCAAAATATAAGAGGGCACAGCTATGATAGCTAAACTACAAAACAAACCAAAATATACAAAAGTTAGGACATGTATAAATGTTTCTATTTTTACATATACTGCTTCAATATGGTCCTTTGATTGCTTATTTTTTAAATTCAAAGTAGTTACTAACATTTAAAATTTTACTGTAAATGAATGTGTAGTCGATTTTCTATCGCAATTAATTAGTAGGTATCACCCAGAAGCAGGCCTGTCAACTTGGGAACACCTAACATGAGTGACTTGGAAATGTTGAACACCTCCCCTCAAAATGTGGACACCTTGGTCCAAATCTGAACACCTTGATCCAAATTTTGAACACCTTGGTTTAAATTTTATTACATCTTGCCAAATTTTGAACACCTCAAATTTTTCGAGCTCGCTACGCTCTCGTTTCAAACATCCATCAACGGGGGGGGGGGGGGGGGGGGGGGGGTAGGTACGAAAAATTTCGAACAGAATGCGTGACATATACGTAATTCGCGTGAAAAGTCCGAACGAAATGCGTACATTTTTTTCCGGCGTTCGTATTTTTGCTGTGTAGACGATCTTTTTTAGAAATTTTTCTACAGAAACATTTTTGCTTGACAATTACCAGGTAAAATGCGTATTTGCGTGACATTTTATGTCACGCAAAAATAACTGGCGTGACTTCAAATTCTTCAGCAAATGCGTGACAAATACGCAGATTGCGGGACAGTTGACAGGCCTGCAGAAGGTACAGAACAGTATGGTCAGAAATGACGGTCATGCAGTGGGAACAGTACTTGGACTGCATCTTATCGTTTTGACCTTTAACTAGAAATAATGATTTGATAAATATGTTGGTACTGAACTGCCGGTACAGTCTGTTACACTGCTTCAAAGGCAAGCAGTTGAACCTGAAAATTAAGAAATCTATATGGTAGAGAAGCATCAAAATATAAGCACAAGCAATCCAACATATACAAATGTCATTCGTGTGCAATATGAATATACTTTTCTATATGTTATTGTACAATATTATTTATATTCCTTATATTTCAGGTTTCTGCTTGCCTTTGAAGGTAACAGACTTTACATGTGCGAATCTTTCTATTAAGGTTTGTGTTCGATGGGTCAGTGGGTCAGATTGAACATGATAAACATTAATAAACAATGCAATCCTTATGTAGAGTATAAAATCTTCAGCGCAGGGCTATTTTACTACTGTAGGTACAAGCTACTGAAAAGTCAAAGCTGATATGACCACGGGGCAGAACCTGATCCTGTGAAATGAGCCATTTTAACCATCCTCAGAATTCGAGTTTTAGGTTGACACTAAACTAAACCAAAACTACATAGTTATTACGTAATATTACTAGGAATGTGTTTTAGTTGTATCTGGAACTATTAAATTGTGGCATATGATACTATAAAATTGATTGAATTAATGAGCCAGATTCCCCATACTATTATAGTATTTGTGAACTCTGCAGAAGTAGATAATCCTGCTACATGTAAAAAGAGATAATACTGAGATAAAGAGACTGGGATTCCATGTGTGATTTTCTGATTTAGTTGCCAAAACTAAGCAACATTTAAATATATGATATACTTGTTTTGATTTTTTGATATCTTTATTTGTCCTACTGTGTGTTGTAGATTTAAAAGCTGAAGTTGAGGCTAACAATTCCAAGTTTATGACAGCCTTCAATGCCAAGAACTTTGAAGATTTGGGTAACCTGTACACTGAAGACTGCGTGCTGATGCCCCCAGGTGGTGCAACAGTTACAGGGAGAGAAGGTAAAGAATAAAGCTTATTTAATTTGCTCCGTGTTCGAGTTAGCATATATTCACATTGCAATGTTTCTTAAATAGGGCCTCATAAAAGTTCTAAAAAGTAAGCCCAATGCCCTGTTAAAGAACTTAAATTCTTACGATTTAACATTGATTTTAGCTATGCTATTCAACACGAATGTACTTGTTAAGATTCGATCAACTTTAGTTCTTCTGATAAAATGAGTGATCAAGGGTATATTGACTTAACATGGGCCCGGGGATATACAGAGTGTCCCGAAAGTATGCCCCCCCCTAGGCAGACATATTGCAGTGGCCCCATAGTATGTGTCATATATCACCTTAAAGTTTATTGATTTGCCAGGTATCATGGTTTAACTCCTAAATGGGAAAAAGTTACAGTAATTTGTTAGTGTTTTGTCAAAATAAAGTTCAATTTTACACCACATTACTAGTCAATATGTCCCCCCTTGGCTATGTTAACATCAGCAATTATTTTCAGATATGACCTCAGAATCCCTTCAAATAGGGGTGTGGAATTTTATAACCCTCTTAAAACCTGTTAAGGGACTTCAGAAGAGTTTCCTCAGAGTTTCCACCCTCACCGTTCTCTTTTTCCAACTCAATATCCGTCCGACCCGGAAAGAATTGCTGCTGTTAAGATGGCCCGGGAGGACACCTTGACTAATGTTTTGGTGTAAAATTGAACTTAATTTTGACCGGACACTTAATTTTGTAATGCCTGTACTTTTTTCACATTTGAGAGTTGAACCATGCATGATACTTGGCAAATCAATGTAACTTTGGATAAGCTTTAAAATGATATATGACACATACTTTGACAACACTGGTATATGTCTGCCTATGGGGGGCATACTTTCGGGACACCCTGTACACAGCCTAAGCTGCATATCATCATCTTAGGGACGGATACAAAATTAATCCTCATTTTCCCAGGATATCTCATGTGGATCTAGTCTCAACAAGTTGATTCAACAAGTTGATTCTATTAGTAGAATCCATTTACAAAAGTAAGAATAGGGACTACCCAGCAAACAGTGACGTCCATGTAACGTCACTCATATGTGGTATATAAGTTCACTGGAGACGTTGTATATTTCCGTTATATAAACGTCAAAGCAACGTAAAATTGTGACATTCAGCAAAACGTCGGTGGATGGTTAAAAAATGACGTTGTAGTAATGTGTTAGTAAAGTTCGAAATTTGTGCTGGTGTGAAAAACGTAACAATGACGTTGAATTTTTACCAGTTTGGTTCATTTGCAACGTAATATAAACGGTAAAATTTAATGTTGTCGTAACGTTTTTTAAATGTGTAAAATATTTGTAAGTGCAGGAAACATTACAAAGACGTTGCAGTTCTCACCAAATTGTTTCATTTGCTACGTAATATAAACGGTAAAATTTGACGTTGTCGTAACGTGTTTTAAATGTGAAAGATATTTGTAAGTGTAGAAAACGTTACAAAGACGTTGTGTTCTCACCAAATTTGGTACATTTGCTACGTAATGTAAACGGTAAAATTTGACGTTGTCGTAACGTGTTTTAAACGTGAAAGATATTTGTAAGTGTAGAGAACGTTACAAAGACGTTGCACTTCTCACCAAATTGTTTCATTTGCTACGTAATAAAAACGGTAAAATTTGACGTTGTCGTAACGTGTTTTAAATGTGAAAGATATTTGTAAGTGTAGAAAACGTTACAAAGACGTTGTGTTCTCACTAAATTTGGTACATTTGCTACGTAATGTAAACGGTAAAATTTGACGTTGTCGTAACGTGTTTTAAACGTGAAAGATATTTGTAAGTGTAGAAAACGTTACAAAGACGTTGCACTTCTCACCAAATTGTTTCATTTGCTACGTAATATAAACGGTAAAATTTGATGTTGTCGTAACGTGTTCTAAATGTGAAAGATATTTGTAAGTGTAAAAAACGTTACAAAGACGTTGTGTTCTCACCAAATTTGGTACATTTGCTACGTAATGTAAACGGTAAAATTTGACGTTGTCGTAACGTGTTTTAAATGTGAAAGATATTTGTAAGTGTAGAAAAAGTTTCAAAGACGTTGCAGTTCTCACCAAATTGTTTCATTTGCTACGTTATATAAACGGTAAAATTTGATGTCGTCGTAACGTGTTCTAAATGTGAAAGATATTTGTAAGTGTAAAAAACGTTACAAAGACGTTGCGTTCTCACCAAATTTGGTACATTTGCTACGTAATGTAAACGGTAAAATTTGACGTTGTCGTAACGTACGTGTTTTAAATGTGAAAGATATTTGTAAGTGTAGAAAACGTTACAAAGACGTTGCAGTTCTCACCAAATTGTTACATTTGCTACGTAATATAAACAGTAAAATTTGACGTTGTCGTAACGTGTTTTAAATGTGAAAGATAATTGTAAGTCTAGGAAACGTTACAAAGTCCTTGTTTTCCCACCAAATTGGTTCATTTGCCACGTAGTGAAAATGGCTAATTGTAACGTTGTCAAAACATGGTTTGAATGTGAAAAATATTTGTAATTGTAACACACGTTACAAAGACGTCATTTTCTGACCAAAATGGTTCATTTTCAACGTAGTGCAAACGGTTAATTTCAACGTTGTCGAAACGTGTTTTCAATTGAAATGTAAAAAAATATTTGTAAGTGCAGGAAACGTTACAAAAAGACGCTATGTCCTCACGAAATTGGTTTATTTGCAACGTTGTCGAAACAGTTAATTTTGACGTTGACGAAACGGGGTTTAAACGTGAAAAATACATATACATGTATGTGAAAAAGAACGTGACAAAGACGTTGTGGTCTCAACAAATTCGTTTAATTTGTGACGTGAAGTAAATGTTAAATATATAACGAATATACATGTATGCCTCGAGTTGTGGTAACTTTAAATACTGATCGGTGGAGGCACAGGCATATGTTGGCTCACACAGATGAACTTAACGTGGTAATTGAGAGTGAGAGTGGAAATATGATGTAAAGAAAACGTTTCTCCGACGTTGTAATTTTGCCATGGGTTATTGCTGACAAAAGTCTGACGTTCTGTCCCGGGGGGTTCATTCCAATATACCTCTTAATACCTATGTGCCGCGCCAAAGACCCCCTTTTTGAGCATTTTTTCCATGTCAATTTCCTCTCAAAATTGGAAGTTTCCATGTATTATTCCTCTCAGAGTTATAAAATTCCATATTTTCTTCCTCTGAACTTCATAGATGTCCATGTCGACTTCCTCTGGAGCTTGCCGGTGTAAAAGAAATTATGGTCCCCTGGGGATTATGGTCCCCTTTCTTAAAGGCCCTTACTGGCCCTGATTGTGGATACGATAATAAGGGAGAGTTGTATTTAGGTCACCATATAAATCAATGGAAAGTAGGACCATAATTTGATAGGACCTCCTACCCTTTTACACCGGGACTAAAGTTTGCGAATTATCGGTAAATTGACTAAAACTCCACTCTTCCGGCGATTTGTCAGACCTCGGGACAAAAATTTTAGTCCCTTTCAACAAGGGCGAGCGTTACAAACGGAAAGTACATCGTTCGCAAATTTGATGTATTTCTCGTTCGGCTTTTTATCGTATTCTGTTCTATCAACCAATAGAAATAGAGGAATTCCCGCGTCGAAATCAACATGGAGGACAGTTCCAAGTTCAAGAATATTGCTGCTTAAAAGCAACTTGGGAGCCGTACTGCCAGCTTTCGAAGGTAAGAATGATGCATGCATGTTACACAATCACCAAAGGTTAAAATGAAAGCATTCCATGGCCGGTACTTGCAGCGAGAACACAAATAATCTCATGTGAAAGTTGGGATCGTTTCAATTTTCAAAATTTTTGTCAGTTGAAATTAGACTTTTGAATATTCTGATATTTGAATCGATGTTATTGATTTTCAATTTCATCACGATTTTCAATCATAATTCCTGGTTCATAATTTTCGTTAGGTCAATTACAAGGGGTCCAGGGGTCAATTAACCATCAGCGACTTTCAAGTCAGATCCGGTCCCTGGGATCTGACGCAGAGGTGTTGATTGGATGGTGAAGTGTTTATGGCAAATGGTTTATGCAGTTATCTTAATCTTGATGGTGATCTCTGTTAGATCTACCTCTTTCAAAGAATAGACATTGCCCGGGGAGTCAGTGATTGCCATCTTTAGCCTGATAGATAATCATGATGGCAGAAATACAGAAATACACAAACATGTATCAGTTTCATATGCTTTAGAAAATGTACATGTTTGCGAACAAATAGTTCAGAAGACAATAGAATCGTCGATTTAATTCCTCACTTAAGTTACATAAACGGTTTTTCGAAAAACAGTTAAGATCTGCACTTTTAACCCGAACCGTTTGTGTAACTTAGTGAGGAATTAAATCGATGATTCTGTTGTCTTCTGAGCTATGCCTATTTTTCGCAAACATGTTCATTTTCTAAAACATATGATGCTGATACATGTTTGTGAGAAAAAATGTTGTGGGGATTCTGCCTACAATGCGTGAAATAAGGAAAAAAGAAAAATCGTACATTCGACGTTCCGACATTTTGTTACCAAAATGAACCGTTTCGGTAACCAGTGTAATCGAGCGGATCACCAGTGAATAGATAGCATACTATATTTAGGGAGTTCTTTAATTTTTTTGAAAATAACATGGCAGAGAAGCATTGAAATATGAGGTCACAGATATGATAGCTAAACTACAAAACAAACTAAAATAAACAAAAGTAAGAACATGTATAAATGTTTCAATTTTACATGTTCTGTTTCAATGTGGTCCTTTAATTGCTTATTTTTTAGATTCAGAGAAGTTCCAAACATTCAAAATTTTACTGTAATCTCATCTACTCTACGACCTCCACTTAAATTTGTAAAAAACATAAGTGGGGGTAACCAAACTCGTCTGGCCCTGTTATCCACTCCCTGTTTCTGAAATGTCGTAGACCAACAACGTCAGGCGTAGATAACTGGGCCATACGGGTTTTTGTTA